TTATTGGAGCTGTCATTGTTGTTTAGCTGGTCTGGGCCGGGTTCAAACCTGCCAGCCTCAGTGTATGTGGCTGGTGCAACGGGTGCCAAGCCAAGTTCTGGATATTTTTTAAAAGACTCTTTCCTTACTATCCCACACTTCATCACAAAAAACCTCTTTCAGGCCTAGTGCAGGTAACACAGCTATGCATAATCGTGACTTAACATAAGGGCAGGAAAGACACAGAACCAACAAAACATGAGATGCTGCTTTCTTTTCAGAGAAGTGTGATTTTCAGATTTAGTGCATTTTCAGTGAAACCATATAATTCATAATCTTTGTACTTACTTTTAGTACAAGAGTGATGTCAAAGGCAGGCTTTTAAAATTGATTGGTGCTTGAGGAAATGCAGTCAGATCACAAGGAAAACTTTTGTCATTCTAAAACATTATAAATCATTTACTGATTGTAACCACAGGAGAAATGGGTCATTATCTCCTTGCATATTATATCTTACTTAAAATGTTTAGCATGATAGTCAGCTAACTTAACCTAATATCAACATTTTACTAGGCTGCTGGCTATGTGACTACATTATTCAGGATATATATACATGTATATATGTTGTGTTTGCTCAGATATGCCTGTGTATATTTAGTATTATCAACATGGTAATGTCTTATCATGTCAGATATGTCTGTACATGTATAGTATTATCGGCAAAAGTTGGGCTCCTCTGAAAGACCTTCAGAATATGCCCCATTTTTAAACTTTATCCACTCTGGGTGAGACAGTAATACATGGTTTTTAGTGGACATGATACCATATATTTGTTTTATTAAAATCTTAAATTTTGGCTCTGCGCCTGTGGCTCAAGTGACTAAGGCGCCAGCCACATACGCCTAAGGTGGCGGGTTCGAATCCAGCCCAGGCCGGCCAAACAACAATGACGGCTGCAACCAAAAAATAGCCGGGCGTTGTGGTGGGCACCTGTGGTCCCAGCTACTTGGGAGGCTGAGGCAAGAGACTTGCTTGAGCCCAGGAGTTGGAGGTTTCTGTGAGCTGTGATGCCAGGGCACTCTACCCAGGGGGACAGCTTGAGGCTCTGTCTCAAAAAAAAAAAATCTTAAATTTTGCTAAATTGTTGATTCTCTTGCTATCTGGATTTGATATTATCACTACGTTGGAGGCCTCAAATACTTTGGATGTTTTCCAATAGTCCAGAGAAGGAGGAATAAACATATGACTATGTGGCATAACACAGCTATATGGTCAAATCTACCTATAAGCTTATTCCCAAATGAATATATCTCTTCTTGAAGAGAGGATCTGCTTTATCTAAATAAAGCTCTTGATAACTTTGGCAGGGAAACACTAAAAACAGCCATTGTGCTCTCCCATAAAAATGCAAACTCTGTTGATCTATTTTGTGCCTCTAAGACCTGGGCAGGTGTTCCTCCTCCCCTCTCTTAACATCTGCCAGCGCCTGCCTCAGCTCTCCACTTCTTTGCTGGTCTTCCCTTCAGTGTCCTTTCTGGAGTGTTTGCTAGGCCCTCCCTCACCCCTAGCTCCTGTAGGAAGGGATCTTCCTTCATTCTATCAACACTTGCACCAAGAAAAGAACTTTCTAATTTTAATAAGAAAGTGATACCAGACAGCAGTGGCTCATGCCTGTAATCCTAGCACTTTCAAAAGCTGAGGCGAGTGACTTGATTGAGGAGTTTGGAGACAAGCCTCTACTAGTAGAGACCTTCTCTACTAAAAATGGAAAAATTCTCTGGTGGCTCTGTGCCAGTAACTCAGTGGTTAGGGTGCCGGCCCCATATGCCAGGGCTGGTGGTTCAATCCCGGCCCAGGCCTGCTAAACAATAAGGACAACTACAGCAACAACAACAAAAAATAGCCAGGTGTTGTGGTGGACGCCTATAATCCCAACTACTTGGGAGGCTGAGGCAAGAGAATTGCTTAGGCCCAAGAGGTTGAGGTTGCTGTGAACTGTGATGCCGCAGCATTCTACTGAGGGCAGCATAGTGAGACTCTGTCTAAAAAAAAGAAAAGAAAAGAAAAAGAACAAAAGAAAAAAGAAAAAATAGCTGGTCGTTGTGGTGGGCATGTGTAGCCCCGCTACCCAGGGGGTTGAGGGAGGAAGATTGTTTGAGCCTAAGAGTTTGAAGTTGCTGCGAGCTATGTTGCCACAGCTCTCTACCCAAGGCGAGAGCTCTCTACCCTGTCTCAAATTAAACAAGTAAAAAGAAAGTGATTGCACTTGCAAATTAAAACTAGTTCACTTACTGTAGAACACAGCCCTCTGAGTTAGAGCTGGAGACAGCCCTGCAGCCCGAGCACCATGGTCAGCGCCCGCTGCAGGCCGCCTCAGGGGCCACCTCCCTGGTGAGAAAGAAGATGACTCATCACACACCCAAGGGGCGCCAGGCCACCACGCGCCTGCCAGTGTTTGGGAACAGATCTGATCCAGATCAGGAAACGAGGAGGAAACCCGAGAGGACACGTTTTGTCTGCTAAGGAGCACGGTCACTAGGAGAATTGCGAGAGGGCTTGAGAGGTTGGGAGATTGGGGGTCGGGGTGGGGAGGTAGGTATGGGGTGGGAGTGGTCGGAGGTGTGTCCCTCTTCTGGCACCCCCCCAAATAAACACAAGGAACAACTTTATGGCAGCAAAACAGAATGACTGGCTTTAATGCTTCTTCTTCCATTTTCCATTTCCTTCCACAGGGCTTCGTTTCGAAAAATAACAAAATGAGGTAAAATAAGTTAACGTATGTACACCTTATAAACACTGTTAAATCGCGGAGTTGTTACAGAGAAGTCGCCAGGGAGCGGCTCAAGGTCAGCCAGGTGCAGCTCGCAGGTCTGTCGTCCTGAGGAGAATTCGCTGGGAGGTGGCGCGTCTAGAAGCATTTGCGGTGGACGATGGAGGGGCCGGCCTCGTCGTACTCCTGCTTGGTGATCCACATCTGCTGGAAGGTGGACAGCGAGGCCAGGATGGAGCCGCCGATCCACACGGAGTACTTGCGCTCTGGAGGGGCGATGATCTGCAAGACAAGGCGTCAGGTGGGGAGGCCGCGCCGCAGGACCAGCCCGCCAGCCCCGCGCGGCCGCCGCCCACCTTGATCTTCATGGTGCTGGGGGCCAGAGCCGTGATCTCCTTCTGCATGCGGTCGGCGATCCCGGGGTACATGGTGGTGCCCCCCGACATGACGTTGTTGGCGTACAGGTCCTTCCTGATGTCGATGTCGCACTTCATGATGCTGTTGTAGGTGGTCTCGTGGATCCCCGCCGACTCCATGCCTGGGGGCCACGGGGGTGCGGAGCGTGAGCCGGACTGCTGGGCGCAGGGGCCGGGGAGGCGGCTGGGAGGGGACGGCAGGGACTCGGGAGGCCCCGAGGGGCCGGCGGCCGAGGCTTACCGATGAAGGACGGCTGGAAGAGAGTCTCCGGGCAGCGGAAGCGCTCGTTGCCGATGGTGATGACCTGCCCGTCGGGCAGCTCGTAGCTCTTTTCCAGGGAGGACGAGGAGGCGGCTGTCGCCATCTCGTTCTCGAAGTCCAGCGCCACATAGCACAGCTTCTCCTTGATGTCACGCACGATCTCGCGTTCGGCTGCGGGGGTCAGGAGCAGGGGCAGAGGTGCGCTGAACACGGGAGTCAGAGGACGGGAGCGCGCTTTGTGCGGGGGTTGGGGGGAGGGGCAGGGGTGCGCTGAACACGGGGTGCAGGGTGCAGGGGGGTGCTGAGCACGGGAGTCAGGGGTCCCGGCAGGAGGCGCGCTCAGCGCGGGAGTCAGGGGCAGGAGGCGCGCATTGCGCGGGGCGCAGGACGGGGGCAGCGCTCAGCTGGCCCGCGGCCGCCCGCCCTCCTGCCCAGGCCCGGGCGCTGCGCACCTGTGGTCACGAAGGAGTAGCCGCGCTCGGTGAGGATCTTCATCAGGTAGTCGGTGAGGTCTCGGCCGGCCAGGTCCAGGCGCATGATGGCGTGCGGCAGGGCGTAGCCCTCATAGATGGGCACGTTGTGGGTGACGCCGTCGCCAGAGTCGAGCACTATGCCTGCTCGGGGCGGGACGGCCGGTGAGTGGCTGGGCAGGGCCGAAGGCGCAAGCGGGGCGCGGGGGGCTCCGCAGGCACTCACCGGTGGTGCGGCCGGAGGCGTAGAGGGACAACACTGCCTGGATGGCCACGTACATGGCGGGCACGTTGAAGGTCTCAAACATGATCTGTGTCATCTTCTCGCGGTTGGCCTTGGGGTTGAGAGGGGCCTCGGTGAGCAGGGTGGGGTGCTCCTCGGGGGCCACGCGCAGCTCGTTGTAGAAGGTGTGGTGCCAAATCTTCTCCATGTCGTCCCAGTTGGTGATGATGCCGTGCTCGATGGGGTACTTCAGGGTCAGGATACCTCTCTTGCTTTGAGCCTCGTCGCCCACGTAGGAGTCTTTCTGACCCATCCCCACCATAACGCCCTGTGGACCGGAGACAACCCGCGCACGTTAACACGGCTCCGGGCTAGGCGAGAACCCCAGCTGGGCGCTTCTGCAGAGGGGCAGTCTGACCTGATGGCGGGGACGGCCCACGATGGACGGGAACACGGCCCTAGGGGCGTCGTCGCCGGCGAAGCCAGCCTTCACCAGGCCGGAGCCGTTGTCGCACACAAGGGCGGTGGTCTCGTCTTCGTCGCACATGGTGTCCGGTTTCTGCAGGTTCGGGAAGGAGGCAGAGACGCGTGGCACATCAGCAGCAGCCTCGATCCCTCCCTCCACAGGGACTTAGGGACACCCTCAGCCCGGGCTGCCGGCATCCTCCCAGGGGAGTGGCTGCGGGCCCCCACCCAAGCTTCCCCACACACTCAGGGCTGCCCTGGCCCAGAAGAGGAACACACTGAGAAATCCGGCGTCCTGGGTACCGAAAGGACATGTTCCCCCAAGACCTTCCGGCTTTCCCTGCAGGCCACCTGTTCCAAGAGCTACCTGGACGCTACTGCCCATCCTGTCTGCTCCCTGGTGGCCATGTCCATCAAATAGAGGTTAAAGCCTGAGAGCTGTCTGTTCACTGCAAGTTTGAAGTGTACGGAGCTGCCCCTGAGAAGGGCGTTGGCACTCCATCCGGGAGGACCGGCCCACTACATCACCCACCCACCTCTACCTCCACCCCCCCCACACATTGTCTCAAACTTAGAAAGAGACCCTTTCACTTGTCTGGCCAAGAGCTGGTTGGCGTTGCCTCTCCTCTGGGAAGGAACTGCCCTCCCAACACGTAAAGCAAAACTGGTCTCCCTCTAGGCACAGCCCAAATGCTGGGCAGAGCAGTCCAAAGGGACTACAGACAAATTTGCAGAAGTTCAATTTCCAGAGGCCGATTTTTTTTAAATCTCTGCGTTAAAGCGTGTGTGGCTCTGGGGACAAGGCACAGACCTCAGGGCGCACACCTGGGGCGCATCAGGGGAGCCAATAGGGCTCTGCTCCAGAGTCCTTCCTATTCCCTTCAGTGGCGCCCTTTCCCCTTGTCGAGCCCCACTCGCGCCCTACCTAGGCGGGCTGCTACACCTGCTGCTCTGGGCCCTGGTCGCCGTGGGAGGGAAGCGAGGCTTCACTCTGCGCTGTCCGCTGCGGTGGCCGATTGTCCCCTAGCTCAGGTTTTATATAGCCTGCGGGAGCTCCCTCCGCGCCGCCCCGCAGGAATGTCTGCCCTTCTCGAGCCATATTTGGGTGTTGGGCACCAGAGCCCCCTCCCTCGGTCTGTTCGGGGCCTGGGCCCCCGCCCGGGTCCCCTGCATTGACCAAAGAAGGAACAGGCTGGCCTGGGCCCAGGTAACGCGGGCCGGGCCGTATATGGAGTGTCCCCGGCTGATCTGCCCCTCCCGACCCGGCCCAGTGGCCCGCCAGAGGGGATGGGGTGGGGCGAGGGTCATCGGGTGCGCCCGAGGGTGCTTGTTGTGAGCCTGCGCTCTGGGCGCTGCACCTGTTCCAAGGCCTCCCCCTGGATCTATGACCACTGTGTGTGCACGGGGCGTTCCGGAAAGTGCCGGACCGCTGACCCCCCGAGTCTTACCCCTTCTTTGGGTTCTCAGCTCAGACCCCCAACATCCCAAGTGCGACTACCAGGAGGAGGGGACCATGTCTGGGGAAATCTGGAGAAGTAAACACTCCCGAACTTCAGGCAGGGAAGGCGGGCTAGCCCCTTCCCCTGTGAACTCCATTTCTCCCTCCCTATCCTGAGCTCCCGAATCAAGAGGCCTGACCCCGGTTGGCCCCCTCCCCCACTGCAGTGAGGGCCACCCGCGGCAGGAGGGCACGCAGCTGTCGCAAGAAAGACAACTGGCGGCGGGAGGCGCGGGCGGAGCGTCAGGGAGGAGGCTCTGGGGCTCCCGGGGACAGGCCCAGGCGCTGGCTCTGGCACTGTCAGGCGCAAAGCCAGGGCACCCAGAGCTGTTCGCCTCAGTGACGCGGGGGGTGCGCTGGGGGCGCTCCTGAACGGAGGGAAGAGGTAGGGGTTCCGGGTCCAGATGTGGGCTCAGCTGTGCGCTCACTATGTTATGTTCTCTCTTGGGGCTGAAAGACAAGAGTCACAACCTACCACTCACTAAACCTGGAGATGATGGAAGTAGAGAGGGGTGAGGGCTCTTACTAGATGAAGCTGTGTTTGTCCTTCCCTCCAACAAAGAGGACAAGGACACTACACTCTGGGATGGACCGCAGCCCTTCCTCATGCAAAGGCTGAAGGAACTCATCTTTATATTTAGAGGATGATGCCTGCCAAGGCCGGGCTCCCAGTCCACCTGGGAGAGTCATCCCCTGCCAGAGCCTGCTGCAGGTTCTATTTATACCCCTGGTATATGCGGCTATGCCTTTCAGATTTTCTAGAAGGATTTGGATCTACTTATGGTAAGGTGGAGTGGGGGTCAGCAGAGGTCATCCAGTTGGTGCCTCTTTTTTTTTTTTTTTTTTCTGGGACAAGAACAGTTCTAAACCTGGATGTGAAAAGCAAGAGAAGAGTTTTTGGTGATGAACTCAGTAACATGCTCTCAGAGGTACATCAGGGATGTGGTGTGGGCCAGGACAAAATCATTCATTTTTCTGATGGCTTAAGTGTTTTCTCAAAATAGTTGCAATTCACATTTGGTGGTGAAACTCAGCTACTGGGACAGGTGTAGATTCTCTAAAAGGGGCATGTAGGAGCCCACATCACCGCAGCTCTTCCTAAAAATAAATGGGTATTAAAGAAGGTATTTTAGGTAATAAAATACTATCTTCCTAAAAACGATCAATTAAAACATAAGTTTTGGCTGAGTGCGATGGCTCATGCCTGAAATCCTGGCACTCCGGGAGGCCAAGATGGGTGGATCTATTAAGTGTAGGAGTATGACCAGTATGAGCAAGAGTGAGACCCCTACCTCTACTAAAACAGAAAGATTAGCTGGGCATTATGGTGGGCACCTGTAGTCCCAGCTACTTGGGATGTAGAACCCACAAGTTGACATTGCTGTGAGCTGTTAATGCCATTGCACTCTAGCCTGGGTAACAGAGTGAGACTTTCTGTCAAATAAAAAACAAAAACAAATAGTTTGGTTAATATGGGGCCTATGTAGTGGGTATAAAGGCTCCCATGATATCCTATTTAGCTTTTCCAAGTATTTTATTTTTCATTCGTGAGTAAGCAAATGACAAGCATATTTCACGTCTAATATCATGTTCTCCTGCGTCAATTGGTACTGGAGACACATGGCAAATGAACTGTATTTAGTTTAAAGAAAATAGTTTAAATTTGGGCCTTGGAGGTAGGAAGAACCATGCTGTCATTCACTGGATCCCTACAAATGTATTGATGTTTTAAAGCAGAATGGTGTTGTCCATACCTTTTAAAATTCTTGCTCAGTTCAACTGTTACTTGTTCCTTCCTCCTGGAGGAAACTTTTCTCAGCCATGTCTGTTAAGAGTCAAACACACGAAAAGCTGACTGTGAATAAAACCCTCCAAGCTGACACAGATCTGCCAGAGCAGCAAACCATGGGGAGACAAGCGCTGAGAGGGCTGGGCCAGACATCTGGGCTTAAATAGTCCCTGACAGGTCATTATTGGCCACCCCAGTCCCATTCTGGTCTGTGGAGCCCTCATTGGCTTAGAGAATAGACGAGTGTGTGGCAGAGCTTCATCTCCATACATGTCCGCTTTGGGGAGCACAGTGGCCCTGCTCTCCCTGAGTAAGCTCGGCTAGGCCTGCACAGGCTTCTGTCACTCAGCAAAGGACAGCCACGCAGGGTGCCTCGTGGAGAGCCTGCCTCTCTAACTTCTCAGGTGCAGCGCAGCCCTCAGGCACAGAGCTCTTCTGCTACCACCAGGCCCTGCTCACACGTCCCTCTTCCCACGGCCCCTTGGCTCTTCCCACATCCAGCCCCACCTTGCTCAGCCTCAGCCTTCTTTGCTGTGTTTCCTATCAATTTAAACATGAATTGGTAAAACACTTTATGACAAGCTTTCACGTTTCAATCAAACGCTTCTCACTGTCCTGAGGTAAAAATAGGCCTCAGTTTAAACACAACAACAATAAACTGAGGCTTAACACAGGGCAGTGGGGGAGCAGGTGCTTGGGCTGCCCTTCCCTCCACTGAGAGCCACCAGGGCAGGGTAGGACTGCTCTGCCCTTCACTCTCCCTGCATGTGGTACGGCTCAGGAGACAGAACAGACCCTCAAGGGATCTTTACCAGTGAGATGCCAGCAGCAGGGCTACACTCAGAAGTCAGAAACACTCCAGAACTAGGTGAACAAAGATTTATTCTCAGCTTGGCGCCTGTGGCTCAAGTGGCTAAGGCACCAGCCACATACACCTAAGGTGGCAAGTTCGAATCCAGCCCAGGCCCGCCAAACAACGATGGCTGCAACCAAAAAATAGCCAGGCATTGTGGCAGGTGCCTGTGGTCCCAGCTACTTGGGAGGCAGAGGCAGGAGACTCACTTGAGCCCAGGAGTTGGAGGTTGCTGGGAGCCGTGATGCCACGGCATTCTACCCAGGGTGACAGCTTGAGGCTCTGTCTCAAAAAAAAAAAGCTCCACATCTAAAAATGTCAATTCCTGGCATCACAGAGAGGACTTTGATTTTCTGTTTCTCTCCCTGTGAAGCTGGTTTCTAAGAGCCTGGTGAGTTGAAAAGGGCAGTCCTCCCTGTAACAAGCTTCTGTGTGCCCATGGTAATGAGCTAGTCAGAAGCACTTGGGAGCCAAGCAGAGCCAGATTTACTGCCTCCTGACTACGTGACCTTGGGCGAGTCACTGCCAGCATTCTCAACTGGCAGTGCCTTTCCTGAAGACTGATTTGAGGAGGAAACTAGGTAGCTAAGTGTCTAGAGAGTAAGAAGCATCAGCATATGTCTTTCTATGTCTTTCTCCCAGTGACCAAAGCTTCGGAGGAGGTACGAGGGCTGAGGTGCCAGGAGGTGAATCCAGGACAGAAGTTACTGGCAATGTGTACACCAGTGTCACCACAACTCAACAGGGACAGTCATCTCAAATGTATTCATAGTGCACAAAGACTTCTGCATGAAGATTTATTTTAGCATTATTTAAAATGGCAAAAAAGAAGCATTTAACAACCCATTAAGTTTTAAGAGTAAGAGACTGACAGAAAGAAAGAGGACTATTAGTTCACAGCCCAGCCATATGGTAAAGTATCATTATCGTGAAGAATGTTTAAGATGTGCATTCTCAAAGTGAACAAAAATTGGTTCTTATGGCGTGAAATACATACTATTATTTGTGGTCTCCAAAGGCCGGAGAACACACCAGGACAATACGGCGGGTCTGCAGTATTAAACTTTCCCTGGAGTGGGACGTGATTACAACAAACTTTCTAAAAAGGCTCCTGGGGGGGGGAGGTTAAGAGTGAGTAAATGGGGTGGCACCTGTGGCTCAGTGAATAGGGAGCTGACTCCATATACGGAGGGTAGTGGGTTCCACCTGGCCCCGGCCAAACTGCAACAAAAAACAGCTGGCCATTGTGGTGGGAACCTGTAGTCCCAGCTACTCGGGAGGCTGAGGCAAGAGAATCACCTAAGCCTGGGAGTTGGACATTGCTGTGAGCTGTGATGCCATAGCACACTACCAAGGGTGACAAAGTGAAACTCTGTCTCTCTCTTTAAAAAAAAAAGGAGTAAAGTGGACCAGGCATGGTGATTTGTGCCTGTAATCCTGGCACTCTGGAAGGCCAAGGCAGGTGGATCACCTGAGCTCACCAGTTTGAGACCAGCCTGAGCTAAAGCGAGACCCCCTTCTCCAAAAAAAAAAAAAAGAAAAGAAAAAAATAGCCAGGCTTGTGACAGACACCTGTAGTCCCAGCTACTTGGGAGGCTGAGGCAAGAGAATTGCCTAAGCCCAGCAATGTTACTGTGAGCTGTGATGGCACAGCACTGTACCGAGGGCAATAAAGTGAGACTGTCTCAAAAAAAAAGGAAAAAACGGCAAATGAAGGATTGGTTGGCGAAATTACAGGGGTCTTTTAAAAGCAGGATTCTCATTTTCTACGGTATTTTTTAAAATAGAGAATTACATAATATTGCTTTTTAAAATATACTTTGGTATTTAATGAGTGGATGATTTTTCCCCACACAGGAATATATAACACTA